CATGCCTCATACTCGTGTAAACATTTTAAAACCAAATTATGTTATCAAAATTAACAAATTGATATTCAATATCAATTTACTTTAACAGTTATTTGGAATACACTGTTCAAGTTTTGGAAGGAAATTATGTATGTTTAATACATGTGATGTTTAAAATCCTAATATCGCAATAACAGATAGTAGAAACTTTACTTAATATGTAAGCCATTCACACTATACTAATATATTAATTTAGCTTTTTTCTTATAATTTAAAAATTTTTTATTGTAGGTACATGACATTTATTTGTGTATCATTCAATTCAATGCAGACAGTGATTATTTTAAATGGAATTGTTGAGAAAAATGAATTCTGCTATCATAATATCTTTCTGGTGGTAGTTAATGAGCGAACTTCTGATTTGGACAATGTATGCAGATGAAGCCACATAAAGAAAACCATCAAACATTGCATATTTAATTGTACCAGTTAAAGAAATATAGAATCTACTGCTATTCACATGCCTCATACTCGTGTAAACATTTTAAAACCAAATTATGTTATCAAAATTAATAAATTGATATTCAATATCAATTTACTTAAACAATCATTCTGAATGCAAAATTGGGGTTTTGGAATTTACCAACTTACATTCTAATACATGCATACATGTTTACATGTCTTTATAAGTACTCAAATATAATAAATATAATTTATTATTTTACTCGTTTCTATATTTAAATTTATTGTTTTATTCGTTTACCATGAGGTATGTATTATGTCAGTTTATGCATTTTTTATTTTAATTGAATTTCATAAAATCTTAAATGAATGGTTCTGATGTTAAATTGTTCTATTTTTTATTAATATAATTGGTTTTTTTATAATCTTTTAACCTTATTTGATTAAATCCATTAAAAATGTACTTCTTTTGCAAAATGTTTAATATATTTTCAATAGTGAGAACATAATATACTAATAAACAATCTAACGTGTTAAATAGTTTTGGTTTTCTTTTATTCTGATTTTTTTACTTGAATGCTGTATTTAATGTATTTTGTCTATTAATGTTTTGAGAGTTATATAATTTAATTTTATCATAAAAAAACTTCATTTTTTTTTTTTAAGTGAATATCTTTTTGTCAATGACTGGATGTTTCATATCTATGAATTTATGCCTGATCAAAAGTATTGCTTAAAATAACTTATTATGTATGTACAAATAATGAATTATGAAAACCTTATGTATTAATATAAAATTATATTAATAGTATGTGAGTAAATTCAATGTTAATAATAAAATTATTAGTAGCTTCCCAAAGTTGTAAATGATCAATAAAAAAAAAAAAATAAAAGTATTACTTTATGATACTAGTTTATCAATGTAAATTAGGCATAATTTATAAAGTAAATGAAAATTTAAAATATTACACTGCTATTTTTACATTTTTGTGGTAGTCTTATAAAAGTTATTTAATCTAATGAATGTGTGAATGAAACTTAAGTTTAAATTGATCTTATATTGTGTTATTTGTATTTGAAGTATATTTTTTACATTTCTTATTTAAAAATAAAATTTAAAACAATATGTTACAGAGAATATCATTTTATACACATTTACTATACAATTTTTTATAGAAATTTTCTAAAAATTGAAAAAATAGACTAGTTTGATTAAATATAAATAATTAAATAATCTATCTACTGTGTGTTTTTCCAAGTATTTTTGTGTTGTAAAAAGCATAGTCAGTCGATAAAGTATAATATGCTGAATACTGTCAATTGATGTTAATTTGTCTGTTTGTAACATATGTGGTTTTGTTTGAGTGTTTGATGTTAATATAGTTAGCATAATATTCTATGTTAAATACAGTTTTTTGCTGTGAAAATTAAAATTAAAACACCTTAATTAATAATAAATAAATTGATAATTTTTGATTTTTTAATGAAAAATAAAATTAGTTTTAGAACATATTTAAACATTTTTATATCATATTATATTTTAATTGTAAGGGCATTTATACATGCATATTTAAAGGTTTTTTTATATCATAAATATATATATATATATATATATATTGTTTCTAATTTATATAAAAACTTCAAATTTTCATGACAAGTAAATATCAATATATTAGATAATTCGTCATAAATTAACAAAAAGTGTTCGTTTTTATAAGTAGTTAAATATAAATAGTTTAATGCTTTATAAATATCAGACACAGATTTAGAAATTGAAGAAAGAGATTTTATACATGTACGGTAAACACTTTTACATGATTATGCGCATCTATGAAATTAAAATTAAAATCATTTATGATTTGATAGACATAAAGTAAATTTTTAATAAATTGTGTGAGGAATATGAAATAAAAAATTAAATAAAAATTAAATATTGCGAAAACAGTTACATTTTGTTTCATATATTAGATGGGTAATTACATGTTATTTTATAATTACATTTTACTCATTTTATTAAAATTAAAATAAATATTTAAAACATGCCATGCATTTTAATAATTTTTCCATCTTTAATTTATTTTTGCCGGGCATATTTTATTTGAACAATGCTATCGTACAACATTTTTAGAAGTTGTATACCTACATCAAAATATACTTATGGTCATTTTCTACAACCATTCTTTCCCCTCTTGTGCTTGTTGTGAACTCCATTCTGAGTCCATTCTTATTATTTATAATTCAAATAATTCAAAATTAACAAATTAGAGAATATTATTAAGTACCGCGTATTACGTAACTATTAATCCAGACGAGAATATTATGTTGTGTAACGAAACGAATGTCTGATAAAATAACACTACAATCGTTCTTTCGACGAATATATATATATTAGGTAACTTGGTAATGTTATAACGATAAAGGAGTACCTATATCCTACAACTAGTTTTCAAAATTTCTACGCAACAATGTACAAAGTTGTAAAGTCTATAAATTTATAAAAATAACTTAATTATACGTTACAGATATGATTTATTTAAAATGATTGCCAAATGACCAAAATGGTCGCCAGATTGTGACCTAAATAATCTTTTAACCGTTTCAGTTTTTACCTATCTCGAATGCGTCCGATGGATTGTTTTTTCGGTGTTATCGACGGTGCGCCGGGAACCGTTTGCGTATTACTTCCACGAACGTTCAATAGGTTAGATAGTAAGTATAAAGTAATAAATATTAAAGTGTAAATGATGGAAATTTACGAAATGTAAATCGAAAAAAATAAACAAATAGGTATTTATAATATTTAAATATAAATTTCGATTTCATAAAACATTAGCAAACGAAATTTGTTAAATTAATTTAAGAAATACTGGTTCATCATACTGGTTTTTTTAGCAAGATTTAATTTTAAATATGTATCTGTTTAAAATTCTATTAAAACAAATTTTAAGATTGATGGATGGGCGTTAAAAAAACATGAATTAAAATGTTTATGAAATGATTCATATTATGCATTTGTTCCGTGTTTTAAATTATTTCAACATTTTGCCCATAATTCAAGAGGAATAGACAATATCTTCGTTTGTAAAATTGTTAACTGATTATTTAATTAGCATATGATTATATATTTATATTTCTTTTCTTGCTAAAATTTCAGACATTAGTTCCAAAAAGCAATCTGATACTTCTTGAGGATATAAAAGTGGAAGACCAAAACAATATTGTAACCATTTTTCCTTCTGGACTATTAGATTTATGTATATTTATTAATCCAAGGTTTTAAATATAGCCCCAAAAGAAATCTGCAGGTAGGTAAACAGAGGAAAAATAATTTGTTCATAACGCATAAGTATATGAAAT